ACACTACGATTTCCTGGTTCTACATCTCTCATCCTCTTTTCAGCCTCCTGATTTCATCTGCCTATCCTTAAAGTGTGCTCTTCAGGATTCTGTCCTAGCTTCTTTGATCCTCTTGCTCCTGCACATTCTCAGAGTGATCTCTTTCATTAGTCCAACAAACAGAAATTAGGTGTGTGCAAATCATGGGAAGTCCAGGAATGAGACACTGATTCTACTCTTAGGATGTCCAAATTCTATTAAGGGAGGCAGAATACTAAAAGAAGATTTTTTTTTTTTATAATATTGTAGAGTGACTGGTGGGAGAAGTTTGGATCATGAAGGTACTCATGTAATTAATAGGGAGTTTTCAATTAATCTTGAGGGTAAAGGGAAATCAGTCAAGGGTTTCGTGTTATAAATGACAATTAGATTTGCACATTAGAAAGTTCAGTCTGGAAATGGTGTGGAGAAGAGATTAAAGAGTGATAAGTTGGGAGGTTCCTGTAGCAAGCAAATTATGATTAAGGTCTAAACCAGGGCAATGACAGAAAGACATAAAAGAAGGAAAGGATTAGATGGCTACGAAAAAGGTACATTAGATGAGATTTGTTTATTTGGATATAAGAAGTGAAGATATAAAAAAGTTGAAGGAAGCCCCACAGTTTCTACTTAGCTTAACAAATCAATATGGGTTACTAGAGACTCAGGGACATATGAGAAGAAACAAGTTTAATGAAGAAGGGATGAATTCAATTTTGAGTTTAAATTATTCATAAAGTCTTTAGATTAGGATTATCCAATGTAGGCACTATTGACATTTTGGGCCAGGTAATTCTATTAGGGGAGGCAGAATACTAAAAGAAGAATTGTTATAAGGGGTTGTCCTTTTCCTGAAGGATGTTTAGTAGCACCCCTAATCTCAACCTGCTAGATGCCAGAAGCACTTGACCCCTAGTTAGTCGTGAAAATAAAAAAATGACTCCAGACATTGCCAAATCTTCCCCAAGGGACTAGGGAGGAGGGAGGGATGAAACTGTTGGCTTGCTGAGAATCACTGATTTAGATGGAGATTGCTCCCGTGATTTCAACTGTCATGCATATGCTAATGATACTCATACTTATATCTCAGCTCACATCTTCTCCTGAGCTCTAGACTCAAGTAATCAACAGCCAGATTGGCTGGACAGGATGAGGACCAATTCCGTTCAGGGTGATATTTACATTCATTCCATCTGTACACATTCTTTTCGGGATCTCATTCATGGTGCCAGTTCTTTAAATTCATAAAGGGGCACAAACTGTTGTCCAATTCTTGTATGTACAGAGGAATTTCTCATGAGAAAAGGAAAAATGAGAGAGGAAAGAGATAGGATTTTACTTTTGTTTATGGGTTTTCTTTTTTTTTCTGGGAGTAATGGCTCCTTGGTAGCTAAAGAGGTACATCTTTTAAGACCTTTGGGAAATGCATGAAATCAGACTACTCAATTACTTGACATTGGTCAGATAATAGGTTGTCCTAAATTCATGGATTTAAGTGTGTCAAGGAGAGTTCATTCTCTTGGTGTGGAAATGGAGCTAACATTTTTTCCCTTACATTTTGTTATTTTCCTCAATACTGAAATTAATATGTTTATGGCAGAAATATTTAAAACAAAAAGGTTCAAAAAATTTTTGTTTACCCATGAATTGATCACTCCAATGATATTTTTCTATATTTTATGCCCTTATAAAAATTAGAATCATGTTGGATGTATAATTTTGGTTTTTATATTTTTTAAACACTAAGTATAAAGATCTCATGACTGCAAAGTTATAATTCAGTTAACCGTTCCTATTGAGTAATTACTTTTCAATATTTTAGTGTCATAAATAATGCTTCAGAAAACTTCCTCACTCCAAGACTACAGTAACATCTATTTTAGTAAGCTAGAGTCCTAGAGGGGTGTATCTAGGTCCCTGATACAAGTTGTCATATTGTATCCCAGAATAACTGTACCAGTTTCCACCTTCATCCTCAGCAATATTTAAGATGATTTTCATCTTTCTTATCAAGTCTCTTTTTAAAAATTGCTGCCTGTCTGATATTCACAAACATTTTTTTCATCTTAGTTGGGCAATAATATTTGTGTTATTAGGCATTTTCTAAGGGGCGTACTGCCCATTGATACAGTGGCTTCTCTTCCTTCTTTTTTAAATTACAGAAATAACAGACACTTGTTTGAACTTGCATTCATTACAACAAATGTGTTATTTTTTTGTAATTTAATATAACACTGAAGGAAATCAAAGTTTTTCTTATGCCATCCTCCACCCTGCTGAGGTAACCATGATAACACTCCTGTGCATGATGCACCACACTGTTCTGTACACTTACATAACGCATATCAACATATGCATGAAAGGGGATGTACATTACATTTCTTTTCCTTTTACTATTTATGGCTATTCTTTCTTTAGACTTTTTTTAAATTTATTTTTTATTTTTTTACTTGTTGATGAGACTTTTTTTTTTTAATGTTGTGCTGCAAATCAACCCCAGTGACTGACACGTGCCTGCAAGGCAAGTGATCTACTACTGAGCTACAACCCCAGCCCTCATGCCTATTCTTATTGTTATGCCTTTTACTATTTGTTCTATCATGCCCAGTACTCTGCTTGCTTTGGTAACTTAATAATATATCCTAAATGTCATTTTAAATCAATGCACCTAGACTTATTGCTCCTCACTTTTAAAAATAGATAGCTGTGATGTATCAAAATATCATGTGGCTGGACTCAGTGGCACATGCCTGTAATCCCAGAGGCTCCTGAGGCTGAGACAGGAGGATTGTGAGTTCAAAGCCGTCCTCAGCAAAGACGAGGCACTAAGCAACTCTGTGACACCCTGTCTCTAAATAAAATACAAAATAGACCTGGGGATGTGGCTCAGTGGTTGAGTGCCCCTGAGTTCAATCCCTGGTACTTGACCAGCCCCCCCCCCCCAATCACATGGTATCCCATTGATATGTAAAATTCTTATGGTTTTAAGTATGTTGATAAATATATTTAATTCAAAAAATAAAAATAGGTGACTCAGTTGAGAAAAGTAATAAACATAATGCAAGAGTATATGGTGATAGGTGGGCATGGTGGCACATGCCTATAATCTCTGCTACTTGAAAGGCTGAGCAGGAGGATTCCAAGTTCAAGGCAGGCCTTGGCAATTTAACGAGACCCTGGTTTTAGTACAAATATCCAGGAGCAAATCCTTCAATTGAAAACATCTGAGGGACAAGTTGTTCGGTTGATCTACTCATGTATATCCTTTAAGAACCATCTCAAACATCGCCTACTCTGAAAACCCTCACTGACCTTTCCTAGGTGTGACACTGTGCCTTAGAGTATCTTGAGGCTAAATCTCCTACACATGTCTCACTATATTATGTAATTCTTTATTTGTATGTCTGTCTTCTATTCTTCATGCAAGCCCTTTATTTTACAGTACCTAGCAAGGTCCTGTTTATACAATAGTTGTTTAATAAATGTGGTTGAATGGCTGGGTGCTCAAACCCATATCAATCTCCTCATTGTCCCCCCTCCCCATTATCTCTAAGAGCTCTTAGTGCTTATATCAATCATTTTGCTAACTGCCTTAGTTTTTTTCTCCATTCTTTCAGATGTGTACTGGGTTCTGTTGACATTAAACATAGATGTCTTGACCAAGTGTATCTAACTCTTTCAGCCTCAGTTTCTTCATCTGTAAAAGGGGAATTAAATAGTACCTCAATAAAAGCATTCTGTGAAATAATTCATTAAAGTGCTTAGCACAATCTTTGTCACATAGTATGTGCTCAAAGTGAGCAAAGCATTTTATAAGCTTGTATCCTACCTACATCTATGTCATATCTTCTAGCAGCCTCCTAGGGTGGTTGTGAAGAATAAATAAGATACTAATGAAACCATGTTGTAATATATTAAGTGAGTATTTATTATCTTTATTTTCACCATCTCCCTAACTAAGTTAGAAGCCTGTGTCAGCCTTCATTACTCAAGTCCTAGTCCTTGAGCAGGATGCATAAAGCCTTCTTTACTCAGCCCAGCTTCTATTTTACAGCCTCATCTCAATCACTTTCTTCTCAGCATCTATCATAGATTTATATGCTTGTGAGATAGGTGTATAGGTAGGTGTTCAATATGTATTTAAAGATAGTGGCAGCTTTAGAATTAGCAAGGCCTTTAGCTAAAAGTGAGGCCTGCTCTCTTTGTTGGATGTTTGTAGAACTTGATAACTTTTCTGCCTTGGTCAATTCACTCCTGACATTTTGGTGATGTAGTATAATTACATTAGGCGGTCCTCTGCTTTGTGATAGGACCATTTCTGCTTTTGGAATGTATGAAAAGGAGGCTGCCTTAGCCAGTGCCCTACTTTTCTCCTACTAGAGATACAAGTTATGTTTATATAACTCTTGTATTGCTGCATGACTGAAAAGAGCTTGATTTGGATCCTTTCTGATAGTTTAGCAGTATATACCATCACAATGTAAAAATTTCACTCGGATTTTAGGAAGGGATAATAAAACATACAGAAACAGAAACAACAAAACCTCCAAAGGTTAAGGCTTTCAGTTACTGTATGGAAACACTGGTATGGTTACAATGAATCAACATGGGCGAAAGTTCCCATAATCTCATGCATGTTTTCTCAATTCCCAAAAAGGATTTGAAGCAACACACGGGTAAAGCGCATTACAATAAGACCGAGAAATGAAGCCAGTGCGAGTTATCTGAATTCCGATGCTCCTAAAACCCTTCAGCATTTTCTGAACTCCCCAGAGTTTATGGGGCGACAGGGCAACGACTGGAGGCAGGCCTGGAGAATCCAGGTGAGGGGTCGCTGGGGAGGCGAGGAGCGCAGGAGCGGAAGTCCGGCAGCCGGGGTGCCAAAGCCGGCTCCACGAGCTAGCGCTCCGCGGGCGCTCTCCGCCCCGGTGGGCCGGGCCGAGAGGGCTGAGCCGGCCGCGCCGGGGGAAGGAGTTTCCGGCGGACTCAGCGTGGTGTGGCTTCCTGTGCCTCTTGCCGCACCGGTTCTCGCTGTGGTCCCGGGACGCGGTTGGGCCTGGGACTCTTAGCTGTCCCTGGCAGGACCCCGGCTCCATGCAATCCCGCCTCCTGCTCCTCGGAGCGCCGGGCGGCCGCGGGGCCTCGGCCTCGCGGCGTGTGCGACTGCTCCTGCGGCAGGTGGTGCGGGCCAGGCCGGGCAGCGATGGGCAGCGGCCGGAGGTCAGACTGCTGCACGCCGGGGCGGGGGCAGACACAGGTAACCCAGGCGCCCCCGCCGTGCTCCCTGCAGCCTGCGCTGGGTCCGGGCCTCTGCCGGCTGCTGCCTCGCGGCACTCGGCTGGAGCGCTTGCTGTCATGGTTGCTAAGAGATCTAAGTTCTTGTCGGATCTCTCTGCTAACTGCTGCGTAATGTGGGGCAAAGCGCTGGCACTCTCTGGGCTTCATTCTGTAACTTGAGGGTCTGGACTAAAGATCCCGATGACCTGTTCTCCTCCTCCACTGGTGCGTTTACCCCCAGAAATCTGACTTGAATTATAGTACATGTAGAGGTTAACGCAGCAGCCTTGCAAGTTTTTGAAAGCTAGAATTGACCTTGCTTTCTGAATGTCCCCAAAGGCTTGGGCCTGGAAGCCATAGTGCTATGCCATATAGCTATGCCGTATTCCCTGCAGGGCTTGACATTGAGTAAAAGCATACATTCTGGTCAAAGAACCCATAATTGACGGTGTGATGTATCTCCACAAATCTTTTCGAGATCTATACTAGTCTTTCCAAGTTCCACATAAAAAAAAAAATTCTTAGAGCTGAAAATCACAGGTTCATTTAGCCTAAACACTAAATGTGTGTGTATGTGTGTGTGGTGTGTTTGTGTGTTGTTGTGATTTGCTACAGATCACACAACTAGTGACTACACTAGAACTACATGCTCTGATTTCTAAACTTGGCATTTTTTTTTTGTCTCTACTTGAGGTGGTTTCAGGAATCCTTTTTGTTTTATATTGGAATTTGAGTGTTTGTGATGATTAAGGGAAGAGATGTATGTTGCTGTTCTTCAATGTTTAAGTTATTTCTAGGAAAAATTTTGTCAATGTCATTGTTGCTTAGAATGATGGAGGTTTTCACTATGAAATCGTAGATTTCATTGTTCCTCTTGCTTTCTCTCTTCACCTAATACTTTTTCTTCCCAAGAAATGAGTCAGTTTTATCTCCCGTTCATTCATTCATTCATTGAACAAATGCTTCCATCAGAACTGAAATTCAGAGTTTGCCTTTCTCCAGTTGTGGAGTCTAGAATATTTGTTTTGTTTTTATTTGTTATGTTATTTGTTGTTTGTTGCTCCTCTATGCTAAAGGCAGAGGTCAAGGGCAGGCATGTAGCATAATCTATACCTTGGGTTTTGGAGCTAATCAGTCTTGGTTGGAATCCACTTCTGCACTATCTAGCTGTGAGGACTTGAAGGTAGGTTACTTGTGTTCCAATTTTAACTGTAAAATGAGGTTAGGAAGATAGGGTTGTTGTGAGGATTCAACTTGCAATTCAGTACATATATTATTAGTATTATACATTCTTAGCTAGGTGAAAGTTATTCTGCTTCAGTGGCTTTAGAAGAAATGAAATCAGTTACTTTTAGGTTCAGAAGTATCTGGATAGGCAGATGGAGTAGAGTTAATTGACACATTTTTAAAAATAGAAGTTACTCTCTATACCTGAATAATACTTGTTGATTGTAAAAATATTAGAAACACATGTGAATGTAAATTTTAAGTCTGTATTATATAGATGGTGGTAAATGTCCTCAAAATTTGTGTTATGTTCAACAATTCAAAGTATAGGCGTTGTTTCAAATGCAAGTCACAGATATGTGAATAACAGTTTAACTTCTTAGACTCAGCCATTGACTTTGGCAGAATCAGAACACAAGAAGTACAGTATGTTGACCTAACTTGTCTTGCTGCTACAAAGATTTGTAATGCTGAAGGTTTGAGGCATGTGGATCCATGCACCTGGAAACTTACCAGAGATCTGGGCTCAAGTAAGAAAAGTTATGAGCCAGGGAAACAGAAGGCAATTCTTGGCTACCCTGACATATTAGGGCAAGGCCTTCCAGGTTGGAGTGGCCTATTTGGAACCAGAGGTCATATGTTGACAAATGTAAAAAAAAAAAAAAAAGCAGTAGTTCATAATGGATTCATATTTATAATGAAAAGGAAAAGAGGCTCTGAGCTGCGCTGATATATGTGACCAGTAACTTACTAACTCCTCTTTATAATTGACATTGCTTCTTTAGCAGTTTTGGGGAAAAAAAGTACACAGCAAAGTACATAAATAACATATTCTTCTTTCCCCTGGACTTTATGTCTTATTTATCATTATGTTGCTTTGGGGCCTGCCAACACATTGTATTTTATAAGCCTTCAGTGGCTTACTAGGTTAAAGATCAGAGAACCAGTGTGAGAAGCTATGATTGCGTTGTTGGCTCTCAAGATAGAAACTTTACTAAGCCTGATAAGAAGAAAGATAGGTCATTTATGGAAAAACAAAACAACACAAAATCCCAAAGCCACTGTTTTTCATTCTTTGTTTTTAGATAGAGTAAGTATCTTCAATTTGTAAATTCTTTATCCCTTTACACTTCTATTAGTAGTAGTGTCTCTTGGTTTTAGAAACAGAGGGGTTAGTTAACAAGGAGGTTATCTACTGCAGAGTTTTCAATAAAGAATATTGTAGTGTTTTCACAGATGGAGCCAAGTAAGTTGGTTCAGTAGGACTCTGATGTGAAATGGATTCAAATATACTAGAAATAAAATGAGAAACTCAGAAACACAACTATGTAAATCCACTGTGACATTTAGTGCTCTCTTTCAACACAATTATTAATGGATTCACTGCTTTTTCCTTATGACTTCTGTGTATGAATTAAATGTTTATAGAAATACTTCAAAATACTTTTGCATAATCAATCTATATTCATTATAGAAAACTGGAAAATACAAATCCCCTAAATAGTCCTCTCACCCAAATTTATAATTGTCAACTTTTTAAAAATATTTTTTTAGTTGTTAATGGACTTTATTTTGTTTATTTATATGTGGTGCTGAGAATTGAACCCAGTGCCTCACACATGCTAGGCAAGCACTCTACCACTGAGCCACAATCCAAGCCCCAATTGTCACTTTTTTGCTGTTAATCCTATCAAGTTTTATTGATCTCACTATAATAAAACATTTATGCAAAAACATCGTTTGAAAAATGGGATATGTGTTTTGTGACACATTGTTGTGAATATATCAACATAATATTGCCATGCATGATCATTTAAAATAGGAATTATTAAATTAATGTATTTATCCACATAATTTATCTTATTGGTTTCTCATTCTTGGATATGTAGATTGTCTATTTTAAAACATATAAACAGTGAAATAAATGTCCATTTATAAACATTTTTGTGATTTTGAGATTACACCTTTGGGCTATAATAGAAATAGTAATAAATGACACTGGGGAGGGAAAATATAGAACTCTGGCTTAAACTGAGAAATCCAGTATAAAGGGAAAAGAACTATACTTTGGTTTAGGTCTTAATTCTGTATTGACTTGGTATTGAACCTTGGGAAATTATTAACTATTTTGACCCTGCAATAGGACATTTTGACTCTGAGGATCTTTTGATAGTGTTTATATATTAAAGAATTTAGCAGAAATATTCCAGAAGAGTTGTAAACGTACAAATCATTAGGAAGACCCATACCAGGAACACATAGACCAAGATGGAAATTGATATATTTGGTTTTCTCTTGGGTCTCAGTTTTGTATATTAAAAAACGGTGCCACTGACCCATTTGTTCTTAACCTGAGGTGATTCCCCTCCCCCAGGGGACATTTGGCAAGGTCTGGAGATGGTTTTGGTTGTCAGAACCATGAGGGAGGGCTACTACTGTCATTTTGTGTGTGGAGGCCAGTGATACTGCTAAACATTCTATAATACACAGGACAACTCCTCTGTTTTAGTGAACTTTTTTGCTGCTGTGACCAAAAGACCCGACAAGAACAATTTTAGAGAGGAAGAGTTTATTTGGTGCTCCCAGTTTCCGAGGTCTCTGAACATAGATGGCTGACTCTAGATGGCCAACTCCATTGCTCTGGTCCAAAGATAAGGCAGGACATTTTGGCAGAACAGTGTGGTGGAGGAAAACACCTGGGAACATGGCACCAGGAAAGAGACAGCTCCACTCTCTTGGAACAAAATATATATCCCAAAGGCATGCCCCCTATGAACTACTTTCTCTAGACACACCTTACATGCTTATAGTTGCCACCAAGTTAATCCCTATGAGAGGATTAATTCACGGACTGTCTTAAGGTTCTCATAACCCAATCATTTCACCTCTAAACTTTCTTGCATTGTCTCACACATGAGCTTTTGGGTCACTTAATATCTAAACTATAACACTGTCACAATAAAGAAGTATCTATCCAAAATGTCAATAGTGCCACGTTTGAGAAACTATGAACTAAATCAACTTCTTTGTCAAAGCTTGTTAAAAACTTCATACAAATCAAATTTAAGAGTTTAACTTAGAGCAATGAATGATTGACAAATCAGATAGCTCTAGAACCAGAAAAGTTTCAGAGAGGTTCACATAGCAATATGGGCAAGCAGCACTTATGGACAAGAAACAAGTGCAGTTCAGAAAGAACTTGATGGATTATAGCTTACTGTTTGCCTTATTTGCCCATGGTTTGATCAGTTGACAACCTGTGTTGACTGAAGCTGGGCTTGGTGTGTCTGGCTAAGACTCAGTTAATATAAAAGTATATTAAGTTAGGTTTTCAAATAGTTTACTAAGTTAATTTACATTTTTTAGAAGCCTCTTGCTTGTTGCTCTAATGCTTGGGGATCTTCAGATACCTTTTTGATTTGATTTCTAGTTTAATTTCACTGTGGCCAGAAAGCATACTCTATGATTTTAGTCCTTTGAAATTTATCAAGACTTGCTTCATGGTCCAGTTTATGATATACTTGGGTGAATTTTCCATGTACATTTAAAAAGAACTTGTAATATGCTGTCATTGGGTGTAATGTTCCAAAAAGTTTTTGTACATCAAGTGAATATTAGTAATTTCAGATCAATACTCTTCTCTGCCCTTACCTTTGATACTTAATCTTAGCCAAAAGACTAAGAAGCAATTGTCCTAACGTCTGTATTCCTTTCTCCCCCTGTTCCTTCCATCAATTTCTGGGGAAGTACTTTAAATTATTTAGATGATTGTGAATTTGTCTATTTCTACTTTTCTGTCAAGTTTTTTTTTCTTCTTTTTCCTTCATATTTATTCTCTAGCTCCCTTGTTGCCCAGGTCATCACCATGGTTTTGCTGTTTTCTTCCACGGAGAAAGAGGTTAGGATGTTGCTTTATCTAGTTTCCTTCTTTCCTTGCTTGCTCTTCTGGCTTTTTAGGCCTAGAGGTCGTCATGGTTTTCTGTTATGGCTAGTCCCAGGGTATTGCATTATTCTTATTATTTTTCTGCCCTCACCTTTGTTAATCGTTTCTTGATCATACTCTTTTCAGTTACTCAATTTAAATGTAACAACATTCCATCTGTTTCTTTCAAGGTCTCTGATTGACAAATCCATATGCTTGGTAAAGCATTTTAGTTAGTAGAAAAATCCAGTGCAGAAACAAGAAATAGGGAGGAGACAGACCAGTTGTGGCTGGAGTAGGATGAGTGCAGAGAAAAATTATAGGAGATGAAGTCAGAGAGGAAACCGGGGGAGCTAGATTAAAAATATGCCTGTAGGCTATTGCAAAGAATGGAGGATTGACCAGAGGATTGGTATTGATGCATATTTTATTAGAATCACTATAGCTACTCTATTGAGACTAGACTGTAGGGGAGCAAGGATTGAAACAGGAAATCTGTCAAGATATGTGAGAGAAGGCTTTTTGGACTACCATGGATTAGGGTATGAAAGAGAAAAATTAAGAATTTCTTGACTCCAAGCTTTGTGGTCTGAACTGCTGGAAGGAAGAAGTAGCCATTAGCAGAATGGGAATACTGAGTTGAGCTTTTTGATGGGAAGATCAAAAGTGCAGTTCTAAATACTGAGGAAAATTTTACTACTTTAAAAAAAACCTCAGTAAAAAAGTTATAGATATACCATGTTTTATTTTGTGATTCCCGTTATTTAATATTAAGTTAAAATTTTTTTGTAAAAAACCTATTAAGAGATGTCTTAGTCTGCTTGGGCTGCTATAACAAATTTCATAAACTGGATTATTCAGAAACAACAGAAATTTATTTCTCACAGTTTGGGGTTTAGAAATTCCAAAATCAAGGTGCCAACTGATTAGATGTTTTAGTGAGGGCCAACTTTTTGGTTCATGTTGACACCTTTTACCTCTATCTTCACATGGTTAAAGGGGAAAATGAGCTGCCAGATAATTATAGTCTTTTTAAGAATTGAAATAATATTTATGAAGGATTCTCATTTGAAAATGACACAGCTATAATTCTTTATAACTGTTCTGTAATAAAAGCCAGTAAGTATCTCTCATATTTGTAAGGAAGGTTATACTTTAAAAACAGATACTTTAGAAAGTAGCTAATTTATGTTTTCCTTGCACTAAGAAAAATAGGGTAGCATAATCTATCAGCCAATGCCTGGAAGTAGTTAAGGTTGTACTGTGAGACCCTACTGACCACTACATTTTTGAGGATATTAGAATTTAAAGACCAGTGGTTCTCAAAGTTGCATTAAAAATGACCTGGAGGGCTTGCTGAAGCAGATTGCTGGACAATACTAATTCAGTGTTCTGGGGGGCCTGAATATTTGCATTTTTAATAATTTTCAGGTGATGATGTTGCTACTGGTCTTTGAAAGTGTGAAGACCAGAGACTGAAGATGGTTGTTATTATCACCATGATTTAAGTTCTTAGTCTCTAGAGTACCTGACTAGTTATAAACTGGCCATTCTGAAATATGAATTTTCCACAACTACTTTTTGAGTGTCTTTGAACCGTGTCCAAAGTTCCAGGTGCAGTATGCCTAACTTGCTGTTAGGACAAAGCAGAGAGCGATTATTTGGTTTAGTCCTGCACTTTAGAAAATCAGTCATAAATTAATGTTAGTTTAAAAAATTGAAAGTATAGAAGTTACTGAGAACTTTTGTAGTTCTTTTTCTACTTGTTTCATGTTGAGATTCTTGGCATTTATATCACTTAGAGTTTTGTTCTTTTAATATGGATCTAGAAATATTAAAGTTTGAGGTGGATTGCTAGAGAACCTGAAATTGTACGTAGTAAAATAAGGATGTATAAAGATATAAAAAGGTTGAGGATATGTGTTAAAAATTCAACTATTCATGCTTTGGATACTCTTAAATAACATACATCTTCTGTATTATTATTGCCTATGTTAGCATTACTATTAATGAAAAGACAAAATGGTTAATATTGTATTGTGCTTCATCTTTTTTTGCTAACCCAAATTTGAAATGTGAATTTTAATAATACTTCATTTCTCCCTGATATAATTTATACTGTGGACAGAAGTTTTTGAATGCACTGCCTTTAACATAGTCATATGTGTAGTACATTTCTGTGATGTCCTTTCTGTGGGTCAGGAGAATCATTGTTGATAAAGGCATGGTATATGTCACTTGTCCCTTGTAATGTGTGTTTTCTTTATTCTCTTTTTAGGTGATACTGTTAATATTGGGGATGTATCCTATAAGTTGAGAACTCCTAAGAACCCAGAACTTGTGCCACAGAACTACAGTAAGAAATATTTATTTATGAATGAATACATTTTAAACTTTTTAATGGGAATTTTCAAACAAACACAACCTAGAGAGAATATTAAAAAAGTGTATGATCTAGTTTATTAATATTATGCCAATCTTTAACCTGAACCTCTTTTTTTTATTTTTAATTTTTTATTGTGGGTTGTTCAAAACATTACAAATTTCTTGACATATCATATTCCACACTTTGATTCAAGTGGGTTATGAACTCCCACCTTCACCCCATACACAGATTGCAGAATCACATCAGTTACACATCCATTGATTTGCATATTGCCATACTAGTGTCTGTTGTGCTCCGCTGCCTTTCCCATCCTCCCCCTCCCCCCTCCCCCCTCCCCACCTCTCCCCTCCCCTCCCCTCCTCTCTCTCTACCCCCTCCACTGTATAACCCTGAGGGTCTCCTTCCATTACCATGCAATTTCCCTTCTCTCTCCCTTTCCCTCCCACCTCTCATCCCTGTTAAATGTTAATCTTCTTCCCCTGCTCTTTGTCCCTACTCTGATCTTAGTTACTCTCCTTATATCAAAGAAGACATTTGGCATTTGTTTTTTAGGGATTGGCTAGCTTCACCTAGCATAATCTGCTCTAATGCCATCCATTTCCCTGTAAATTCTATGATTTTGTCATTTTTTAATGCAGAGTAATACTCCATAAATGCCACATTTTTTTTATCCATTCGTCTATTGAAGGGCATCTAGGTTGGTTCCACAGTCTTGCTATTGTGAACTTTTTTTTTTTTTTTTTTTTGGTTTTGGAGTATTTAAAACCTATCCAAGACATCCTATTACTTTCTTTATTCATGACTATTTAGTAGAAACATTAGTTTTTCTCATTACCCTTAAAAAAAACTTGGGATAAAGTTTACATCTACTAAATGCATAGATTTTACATGTTTATTTGGTTAGTTTTGACAATTTTATAAACCTGTATAACCACGAGGATTACTTTTATTGTAATCCTGTATTGGCTTTCCATCTCTGTGACAATATACCTGACATAAACTCAGATTAAAGGAGGAAAGATTTATTTGGCTCATGATTTCAGAGGTTTCATTTTATGGTTGGATAGCTCCATTGCTTTGGGCCCATGGCAAGGCAGAACATAAGTGTGGCAGAGTGAAGCTACCCACCTCATGGTGGCTGGGATGCAGAGGGATACAGCCTAGAACAAGATAGATCCTCAGTGACCTACTTCCTCCAACTAGGTCTTACTCCTAAAGTTTCTACTACCTCCCAATAATGCCACCAGCTGGGGACCATGTCTTCAACACATAAACCTTTGGGGGATATTCCATATTCAAACTGTAACAACCTCCAAATGTTCTCTTTGCCTTTATCATGACTTGGAAACCACTGATGTCTTTTCTGCCATGATAGATTAGTTTTACCTACTCCTTAGCTTTTTAAAAGTAGAGTCATGCAGTATGATTGTGTGTGTGTATCTAAGTTCTTTACATCAAGAGAATGAATTTAAGGTTCATCCATGTGGCTGCACCTATCTGTTTTGATTGCTGAATAGTAATTTATTGTAAAAAAATACCACAGTGTGTTCATCCATTCTTCTGTTAATAGATTTTTGGATGACTTCCATTTTTAGATTGTCATAAATAAGGTACTATGAAAATTTGTGTACAAGTCTTGTGATCATAAATTTTCACTTCTTTTGAGTAGAAAACTAGGAATTGAATTGATGTATTATAGGATAGATACCTGTTTATAACACACTGGAAATAATTCTCCAAATCAGTTGATCAGTTGTACTATTTCCATTTTTTTTTGTACCAGGGATTGAACCCAGGGGTACTTAATTACTGAGCAGTATCCCCAGTTCTTTGTTTTTATTTTGAGACAGGGTCTTGCTATGCTGTGGGACTCACTGAATTGTTGAGTTTGGCTTTGAACTTGTGATCCTTCTGCCTCAGCCTCCAGAGCCACTGGGATTACAGGCATGCATCACTACACTTGGCTGTACCATTTACTTTTTTTTTTTTTTTTTTTTTTTTTTTTTTTAATTTTTTATTGTGGGTTGTTCAAAACATTACAAATTTCTTGACATATCATATTCCACACTTTGATTCTAGTGGGTTATGAACTCCCACCTTCACCCCATACACAGATTGCAGATTCACATCAGTTACACATCCATTGATTTACAAATTGCCATACTAGTGTCTGTTGTGCTCCGCTGCCTTTCCCATCATCCACCCTCCCCCCTCCCCACCTCTCCCCTCCCCTCCCCTCCTCTCTCTCTACCCCCTCCACTGTATAACCCTGAGGGTCTCCTTCCATTACCGTGCAATTTACCTTCTCTCTCCCTTTCCCTCCCACCTCTCATCCCTGTTAAATGTTAATCTTCTTCTCCTGTTCTTCGTCCCTACTCTGTTCTTAGTTACTTTCCTTATATCAAAGAAGACATTTGGCATTTGTTTTTTAGGGATTGGCTAGCTTCACTTAGCATAATGTGCTCTAATGCCATCCATTTCCCTGTAAATTCTATGATTTTGTCATTTTTTAATGCAGAGTAATACTCCATTGTGTATAAATGCCACATTTTTTTTATCCATTCGTCTATTGAAGGGCATCTAGGTTGGTTCCACAGTCTTGCTATTGTGAACTGTGCTGCTATGAACATCGATGTAGCAGTGTCCCTGTAGCATGCTCTTTTTAGGTCTTTAGGGAATAGACCGAGAAGGGGAATAGCTGGGTCAAATGGTGGCTCCATTCCCAGCTTTCCAAGAAATCTCCATACTGCTTTCCAAATTGGCTGCACCAATCTGCAGTCCCACCAGCAATGTACAAGTGTACCCTTTTCCCCACATCCTCGCCAGCACTTGTTGTTGTTTGACTTCCTAATGGCTGCCAATCTTACTGGAGTGAGATGGTATCTTAGGGTGGTTTTGATTTGCATTTCTCTGACAGCTAGAGATGTTGAGCATTTTTTCATGTACTTGTTGATTGACTGTATGTCCTCCTCTGTGAAGTGTCTGTTCAGGTCCTTGGCCCATTTGTTGATTGGGTTGTTTGTTCTCTTATTGTCTAATTTTTTGAGTTCTTTGTATACTCTGGATATTAGGGCTCTATCTGAAGTGTGAGGAGTAAAGATTTGTTCCCAGGATGTAGGCTCCCTATTTACCTCTCTTATTGTTTCTTTTGCTGAGAAAAAACTTCTTAGTTTGAGTAAGTCCCATTTGTTGATTCTAGTTATTAACTTTTGTGCTATGGGTGTCCTGTTGAGGAATTTGGAGCCCGACCCCACCGACTGTAGATCGTAGCCAACTTTTTCTTCTATCAGACGGCGCGTCTCTGATTTGATATCAAGTTCCTTGATCCATTTTGAATTCACTTTTGTGCATGGCGAGAGAAAGGGATTCAGTTTCATTTTGTTGCATATGGATTTCCAGTTTTCCCAGCACCATTTGTTGAAGATGCTATCCTTCCTCCATTGCATGCTTTTAGCCCCTTTATCAAATATAAGATAGTTGTAGTTTTGTGGATTGGTTTCTGTGTCCTCTATTCTGTACCATTGGTCCACACGCCTGTTTTGGTACCAGTACCATGCTGTTTTTGTTACTATTGCTCTGTAGTATAGTTTGAAGTCTGGTATCGCTATACCGCCTGATTCACACTTCTTGCTTAGCATTGTTTTTGCTATTCTGGGTCTTTTATTTTTCCATATGAATTTCATGATTGCTTTCTCTATTTCTACAAGAAATGCCATTGGGATTTTGATTGGCATTGCATTAAACCTATAGAGAACTTTTGGTAATATCGCCATTTTGATGATGTTAGTTCTGCCTATCCATGAACAGGGTATATTTTTCCATCTTCTAAGATCTTCTTCTATTTCTCTCTTTAGGGTTCTGTAGTTTTCATTGTATAAGTCTTTCACCTCTTTTGTTAGGTTGATTCCCAAGTATTTTATTTATTTTGAAGATATTTTGAATGGAGTGGTTGTCCTCATTTCCATTTCAGAGGATTTGTCGCTGATATACAGGAATGCCTTTGATTTATGCGTGTTGATTTTAAATCCTGCCACTTTGCTGAATTCATTTATTAGCTCTAATAGTTTCTTTGTAGAGCCTTTTGGGTCTGCTAGATATAGAATCATATCATCTGCAAATAGTGATAATTTAATTTCTTCTTTTCCTATTTTTATGCCTTTAATTTCTTTCGTCTGTCTAATTGCTCTGGCCAGTGTTTCGAGAACTATGTTGAAGAGAAGTGGAGAGAGAGGGCATCCCTGTCTTGTTCCAGATTTTAGAGGGAATGCCTTCAGTTTTTCTCCATTCAGAATAATGCTAGCCTGAGGCTTAGCATAGATTGCTTTTACAATATTGAGGTATGTTCCTGTTATCCCTAGTTTTTCTAGAGTTTTGAACATAAAGGGATGCTGTACTTTGTCAAATGCTTTTTCCGCATCTATCGAGATGATCATATGGTTCTTATTTTTAAGTCTATTGATGTGGTGAATAACATTTATTGATTTCCGTATATTGAACCAGCCTTGCATCCCAGGGATGAATCCTACTTGATCATGGTGTACAATTTTTTTTATATGTTTTTGTATCCGATTCGCCAGAATTTTATTGAGGATTTTTGCATCTAGGTTCATTAGAGATATTGGTCTGTAGTTTTCTTTCTTTGAAGTGTCTTTGTCTGGTTTAGGTATCAGGGTGATGTTGGCCTCATAGAATGAATTTGGAAGTTCTCCCTCCTTTTCTATTTCCTGAAGTAGCTTGAAAAGTATTGGTATTAGTTCTTCTTTAAAGGTTTTGTAAAATTCTGCTGTATACCCATCGGGACCTGGGCTTTTCTTAGTTGGTAGTCTTTTGATGGTTTCTTCTATCTCCTCAATTGATATTGGTCTGTTTAGGTTTTCTATATCCTCCTGACTCAATCTGGGCAGATCATATGACTTAAGAAATTTATCTATGCCTTCACTATCTTCTAATTTATTGGAGTATAAGGATTC